CCGCAGGCTCGGCGAGCCCCGCTCCTCTTTTTGTTCCGCGGACCCCAGGTAAGCAGCCTGCGTCGCCGCCACCCGCCGGGTGGGGATCTTTCCAGTACTTTCCCTGCCCGCTCCCTCTGGTCCCCCGGCTCGCTTTTCCTGCAAAGTCAGGCAGGCGGGGGAAATGGGCTCCTTGCCCTTCGATCGATTGCGTGGAAACTTTCCAGCGGGAGGCATCCTGAGGGGGAAGGAGAAGGCCTTCCTGGATGTTGTCGCTTGTCAGTTCTTTCTCCTGCGGGTCCCGAGAGGGGGAGTCGCTGCTCCCCGTGTGTTGTACATTCAAACTTCGGGCCTAAACGTGCCTCCAACTCTGGCAGGATTTACTCCAGCGATAAAATAAATATTCAGAGTTGTCCACTTGATCTTGCCAGGCGTTTGGCTTTTTCAGAAGAAGGAGACAGGCTCGGGGGTCGAGGGAAGTGGGAGTGTTGTGCAGAAGCCATTCCTTCTTCAGTGCCTGCACCGGTGGTTATGTAATTTTAGTAGCACATGGGTGCAGAACCCATTTGGGCTTCTCCCCTCCTTTGTTTATATAACTTTTGGGAGAGTTTTGCAAGGTTGTCGCCTGTTTTCCTCCCTGCCTGACCTGAAGGAGGTTGGTGCTTTTGAAAAATCAAAGCGACCCTGGTTCGTGTCATCCTTGTCATTACGTGCAGGCTGTCTTCCCAAGTATGTGTAATGGTAGAGCATAAGGAAGACAATAAGGATACACGTTTGTCTACTGTATCGAGTGCTTACTTTTCACGTCTGTGCGTTACCAATAGCAGGGTTAAATTTTAAACTTCCATTTCAAAGGACTTACTTATTTACATCTGGTTATGCCATGCTGGTAGGAACAGAATGCTTGTATGAGCAGAAAGATTGTTGCTTGCATGTGGAGAAAATTCCTGCCCAACCAGTACAACTCAGAAACCACTGAGAGTTGTACTAAAATAAAAACCATGCCCAGTGTTGAATGTGTGTGTATTTCCTTTCAGAGGCACATTCAGATGTTTTGGGGAATACTTTCCACCATTTATTTGGGGGACCACTACCCAAGGCTTGTTTGCCCACACTAGACTTGGTAGGCTTCCAGCCCACTGCTAGCAAGTGGTAAAGTGTTAAGAGGTGTGTCAGGTTTGAAGGCAAGGTGGTGCATTGTTATGCAAATTGAGAATTTAGGAGTTTAATTGCCCTTTTATTCTAGGTCCCTCCCTCCCCCCTTTTTTAAGCTTGCTGACAACTCAAACGTTAGCTGCTGGAAAGAAGGGATTTGGAGATACTTATTAGGTGCAAATGGTATTTATTGGCATGGACTAAAGAAAAACACACCGCTAGACTGAGGTCCAGCTCTCTTGATTGAAGGTATTAAAGAGAGACGCTGTATTGGTCAAGAATATTGTAGAATAAATGAGGAGTTTGGGGTATCAGGACCCTTGAAGAACTGGCAGAGGTGAGGGAGTGCTTCCTTCAATGCAGCCTTTCTCTTATGTGTTACATCAGTTACATCCCAGATTCTGGGCTGGCTGCACTGTGGTGTTTCACAGAAAATATTCACTGCAAGAGTGTGTTCAAAGCAGCCTTAGATCTTTTCTTTTGTTCAATTTTAAAGTGGTTTTTGAGCATTTCTCATCAGGTTTCTTGAAAAGTGCTTTGACCAACACAGGAGGCTTGGAATTTGACACACACACACAAAAAGTACCTCTGCTTGTATTATATTGTTAATACTTGAATTCTGTTTAAAATATTTCTGACAGTATAACTAGAAGGTGAGACTTTGGCAAATAATTATTTAAAACTTCTTTCCTTTAATTAAGTTTAAAGTAAGTCATTTTACTGACCAGGCTGAAAGCATATCCCATTCTTTTCTAGGAGATAATTGGGATGCCTCTTATATTACTGTAATATTTTGACATTTCATTTTTAAAAGCTTATTATGTATTCAAGCAAGAGCATAAAAGAGAAAACTTTGATACATTATAAAAGTGGTGCATGCCCTTTTTTCCCTTTAGAAGCCTTCCTTTGTAAACAGGGCATTTATTTGTCAGACTCTCTTAGGTCAGCAGCTTTTTGATAATCCAGAGAAATAATAAATCGCTATTTATGACATCTTGACATGCTGCCATGAGAACAACTGAATTACCACAAACATAAGACTAAGGGGTGTTTGCCAGCACTAGCTTATTGAAGGTGTGTTGATAGGACCTGATTTAACCACCAGAAGTTTTGATTGTCACTGTTTCTGGTCAAGATCATTTTCATCGGTTGCTTACCATGAGTGGACTTTGAGTCACATTTCTCCAGTACTTCTGGTGAAGAAATGAGAAAATTTCTGAAATGTAAAAGCCATATTTGGAACCTACTTCTGAATTTTTTCTTGTCACTTTTTTTTTATGTAAAAGAATTATCTTCTAATTTACTCCAATTCCTTAAGTGTGTTCTGTAGATTGTTTTTGACCAATTGCGGATGCTGAATTTCTGTCATCTTTGCAAGAGTTTGTATTATGGAAACTTAATCTCTAGCCAGTTAGTAAAGTCATGGATCATTTCATAAGTAATTGGGAATAGAAAATACAGAAATATGGTGGTAAGTTATTTGGTAGAGTCTTTTAAAAAGGTCTGTGTTTTCTACCAAAGAAATTGTGACTATATTTATAGGAAACATAGGAGTCTAAAACTTAGTTCTGCAGAGCCATTGTGAAAGATATTTATTTTCCTAAAATATCTATTCCAAGTTAAATGGGATCTTGCAGTATGGGTTTGGAAAACTTTACAACTTTATTACTATTTATTATGACTTTATTTTTTCTCTTAATAATGTAGCACTTTTCCTTGTAGATATTAAGTATTCAGGATATATTAAAAGAGAACCTTTAAGTAAGACCAGTCTTATAGATACAGTCAAAGGTACTTGAATAATTATAACTTAGCAAAACATAAAAGAGCTGAAAAAATTCAGGAGCTAAGTAGTTGGGTCTTTTGAATGTTGCATATAAACAATATTTAATTTTAATTATGAGTTCATTACTCATTAATTCACTCATTTGGGATGATGTTTTAGATTTGGAAGACATGGTTTTTAAAATGTTGGCAGAAGTAGTCCCCTTCCAAACTTCTGGCTTTATAGTACATTACTTTATAACTGAAGCCTACCATGAATTATGATGTCTTATTATAGATACAAGACTTTCAGAACATTTAGACAGTTATAATCAGGCTATATGCCTCTGTGATTTAAAATCTTTTAAACAGTATCCTGTTGTAGTTTTAGGTATATAAGCATCTCCAGCCTTAGTCTTTAACAATATATCATCTATCTCTATTCAAGCACTAATGTTTTAGAAACTTTTCAGAAACTGAACTAATTTAAATTTGGGCTGGCCTCTTTGTAAATTGATGAATGGAATCCACAGAAGTTGAAATAAATTTAAAAATTAAAAACCATTAAATATAATTATAGTCCACCCCTCTCCTTTTTTAAAATAAATGGTTTTATTTACTGATGAGAGAGGAAGGGAAGGAGAGAGAGAGGGAGAGACAGACAGACAGACATTGATTAGTTGTTTCACTTACTTACGCATTCATTGGTTGCTTCTTGTATGTGCCCTGACCGGGGATGGAACCCACATCCTTGGCATATCAGGACAATGATCTAACCAACTGAGCTACCTAACTAGGGCTCCTTTTTTGTTTGCTTGTTTTGTTTTTGTTTGTTTGTTTAAGCGGAATTCAGAATTCTCTAACCAAAAAGAGTCGGGATATGTTGGTTTATATAAGTCATCAAACTTGGAAATGGAATGCTGGTGAGGATAGCAGCCCTCTCCCACCTCCCCACTGTGCTTTTGAACCAGGCACTTGAATATTTGCAACTTTTTTGTAGCTTGTGGTTGTGCTGTATTCCTATATGTCCTAAAATGTTATTAAGCAAAATTCATAATTCTGTAAAAAATAAATGACCTATAGTTGAGAATTGATGTGTTTTAAAGAATGTACCGGAACATGTAAACACGAATAACAAATAGTAAACTGCAAGGGCCATGTGATACAGGGAGAGATCAGGGTGAGTTCTCTTGGGCCCATGGGATAGATAAGGTCTTCTCGATGGGGTAGGGTTGCTGCTGGAGCGGGACAGAGGTGGGGGTGATGGACTGTGATCACCTGAGATCAGAAGACAGTCTTGATAGCACAGAGGCTGAGCCTAAAGAATCTGTGAAAAGATCAATGTACCATTTTTGACCTGGTTGCCCAGTACAAGAGGGTCCAAGGTGGGGAGAGTTTTCAAAGGATGAAGTTGGAGATGGTAGGACAACCTGACTTCCAGGCTCATGTATGAATATTTTACCCAATGCCTATTGGAGGCTTGTCTCAGAAGTTTTGAGCAAGGCTATTCATGAACAAGAAATATTTTAGATGAATCTGACAGGATGTCGATTCAAGGCCAGGATGGGAATTGAGGCCTTTAGAAGGATCCTTGGGATAATGTGCATTTTTACCTAATAGCTCAGGAGGTGTCATCATGTGTAATATTTCATTTGATTCATATCAAATGTGAGGCTGTAGCTGCTATTATTATGCTTATTTGCAGATGAGGTCAAATGAACTACATGGTGATTTTCTTAATGGCATACGAATGTCATAAGTGACCATTATTCATTTTAGTTGCAAAGAACTTGAAGGGTTCCTTCTTGAAATTTTGTCCCTACTACAAAAGTTGTGGCATATCAAAGCTCGTCTGTCGCATAACAGAATGTGGTATTTGGAGTTGTGGTGCCACAGTGTGCCATGTCAACCAGAAGAGTTTTAAAGTATGTATTTCAGACTCTTGTATGTTCTTAATGTATAAATATTATCTCAGCAGACGGAGAAGGAAGTGGCTATCACTGATGCTTATCAGCACCCCAAATGAGCTTGCCTTGCCAGGGGCCTAACAGGACGTAGGAAGGACCGTCGCATGGACACACACACACACACACACACACACACACACACACACGGCACGGCACAGTACACTGCAGGTGTTGTGCTTTCAG